CCGCGGCTACACACTCTAAAGGTCTAAAAAGTCTAAAGCGCCGTTCACCACCATAACATCTACAACATCCAAAATTTGCACCATCACACCTTGATGGTATACCGAGCTGCCATACTGTCTGCTGCTACAACGATTGCACAAAATAGTTTCTCATCGTTGTACATTGTATTCATTATGATTGCTACTACATATATTTGTAATCTCTTGCTTCACTTGCAACTGCAGCAAACACATTGAAGTCAAATTCGCATGAATTTACATTTGTGGCCACTTTCTAGTGGAATTTGGCACAACAGCCAAGTTCTTGTGGAAGTTTGATTTCTGGCCAAATTCCAAATTCCAAATTCCGTTTGGCCAATTTTTAGTAAGTCATAGAGACTATGGATGCAACTTCAAAATGAAATCTGAGAAAATCACAACGCACAGGATTTTACTCTATTATATCTATGTCAAAAACAATCCGCGGTGCCAACTGTAAAATTCATAGTTTGGAAAAAATCCGTTAAAATCGGAAAAAGTCGGAAAGAAAAGGTATTGAAAATTGAAAGCACCATTTTTTTCAGAATATTTTAACAATTAAAGATAACAGTCTTTTCTACTAGAGCCAGTAACATGTGTTCTTTTTTCCAACAGAAAAAAACATATTAAACAACAGTTACAAAAATTAAATATGTCAGGCAATGACTGTTTCGTTTCGGATTTTCTTTGAACCGTTCATTCATCAAAAACACTTAAAACAATAAACTATAAAAACAAATAAAAACATACTACGTCTAATTGAATTCATGGATCTTTTGCTATATGTGTGGATTTTTTTGACTAATTACTGCTTTTAATAGATCTGGTTTAGATAGAATTAAATTATAAAACTGTTTATAATTAATATCAATCAAATATGTGACACACGTGAAATAAGAAAAAAAGCTTTATGACATCAGATTAATCAACTGAATTCTTTTACCAATACGTACTTTTCAGAAAAAACTCCAGAAATCGGAAAATATCGGAAAAATTGCGATAAATCGGAAGAGTTAGTAAACCCTGGAAACAATAAGCAACTTTTAGCATTTTATACCACAGTAACCAAGAAACTTTAGGTCATAGTTTCTGAGACCATTGGATAACTCAGTAAGCTGCATCGAATGGTCGCCTTAGCCACGGTTACTCAATTGTTCTGTATAGAAAATCATCTTTTTGGTACCATTAATTCATGTTTTTGCCATAAATGAAGCACTAATTGATACTAATGTTTACTTTTTATTTTCGTTTGTTAGATTAATACATTCTCTATCGATCTGTGACATAGTTTTCCAAAATCGCTGATTCCTTAATCATTTTTTTCCAAAACATGAGCGCAATAGGAAACAAAATTTGAAAAGTCTATAACTTTAAAAGTATGAGGTTTTAGTGTTTAATTATTTGATAGTTGGATAGAGAATGAAATTCTCTACAAGCGTGATAGATTGCCAGATTTTGCGATCATTTACTCATAATTGTATAGATCACAAACTAGGTACAACATCTTCAGCAAGTAGTATTTTGATCATAGTGGAGTCACGAATGAGTCTAGAGATTTGATATCTGGGCCCATATAGTTAGTATCTATGAAGCTGCGTCGAATAACGATCTTAGTTCGTCCAAAAACCTATGTTTCTTTTGTAGAAAGAATTTTTCTAAAACTATTACTTGATAAAAATTTGGAAGGAAGAAGCTTCTTCCTGAAGAATAAAACGTTTCAAAATTCAGAGAAAGTAGCTTGGTTTTTGAAGAGGTCTAGAAATCTTTTTGAAGCTAAAAAAGTATTGTTTTACTAATCTTTAGTACAAAATTAAACTACGCAGATAAAAGTTCACTAGGTTTTTAACCATTCTACTGATCGATAACCTATGAATTACCTCGAGTCTCGTTTTTTTGAATAGCAGAAATCGCAAGTTTCCATTTATCTTGGTTTAAAAATTATTTAAAAAGTTAGTGTGGTGCCGTATTTTGAGAAGGATAATAGTTGAAAATATTTTTTCATGATAAAGTGCTCATCTTCCTTGAACACAAACACTAACGTATTGCTAGAATGATTTATTTTTTAAGATAATTAGTAACAGCTTCATTATGTGCATGTTTATAGCAGTTCTATAATGTATCAAGTTTAATCTTTTATTTAGTGCTATTTCAATCCGTTTTACAACGTACATAATTATAAATATTTAAGAAATAGAATTTCGCAGTTTTGTGTAGTCGGATAAACAATAGATAAAAATCATCATCATCTGGCATATTCAGTTTTTGTATGAATTTTATTAGATGAGTATAAACCAAAAGTTCCAGAAAAAAAAAAGTCCAGAATTATATGCCGATTTTGCATCTTCATTGGCTTTTACTGTTTTGATATTATTAACTTGATTCGATTTTCATTCTTTAATTTCTAATTAAATAAAAACTCCTCACCATTAAAATTGATAATATATTTTATATTGGCCACCTATATACAATGCAAAGAGGATAAATCACGTTTGATTTCAACGTCTGTTTCCTCTTTATCAATGTTAATATTACTTTCTTGTCATAATACCAACAGGTGTATCTTTTTATCTCAGTCAGTTTTTCTATTCGACTCTCATGTCTTCATATTCTTCGGTGTGCAACATTTCCACCGCTAGAGCAAACTTTTCTGAAAGAAGTACGCATTCGTATTTTCATTGCAATAAAAAGTACAGAGCTCGAAGACATTTCATTTGATTCAGAATAGTTTGAAATGTTCTGCAGTTCCGATCGTTTACTTTCATTAAAAATGGATAAGAAGAACAAAATATCAAAATTTCGTTACGGAATTTCACTTTAGTAGCAGAGTGACGTCTTCGCGTCGTGTTGTTGTAATTTCAAAATTTATTTTAAAGAGAAATACTAAAGAAAAGTAAAATATTAGCAATATCCCATATCATCGATCGTGTGTCCTTAGTACATTTTTTCGCTTTTGAATTTAACTTTTTTCATTAATAATTATTTACTTCCTGACACAAAATTCTGTTAATTGCTCAACAGTAGTTGACTGCCTTTTAACGAACATTTATAAACAACAGGATAACGGCAAAAACTATATTACAATCTTTTGAATTTTCAGTAACTGTTTTTTTTTTTTATTTATTTTCAAACACACATATTTTCAATAGTCAGAAGAAAAATTCTTTTGTTTTGTCCAGTTTACACAAATCGAATATTTTGTTTTCAAATACTACAGACAGAGAGAAACAACCACGTTGAAAAAATAAAGATAATCAAACAAAACTGAAACAACAACAACTACACATTTGATATCTATGTACACCTGAATCAACAAAATATTTACAAAATCTACTTGAATCATCAAATTTTTGTTTTTAAGAAATATTCACTGAATATATATATAAAAAGAAAAACGAAGAGAAATTAGAAATTAATTCAATTGTATAATTCCCATAGACAAGATGTTAACGCATTTGATGCTTCAGATGGATCCAATGCTAAATTAGCAATGATCTGTTCATATTGACGAAGATTTCTAGAAATAACCATAGAACAAACTGTAACTAAGCTTTCATTGTTTACCTATTAACTTACTGTTTTCCTGCCGCAGAATAATGTGCTATATTTCTTAGAATTAATGCAGCTGTTAATCGTATACTCTTCGTTAATGGACCTTCTTTGTTTTTCTATAAAGAAACAAAAAAATAACAATGCATTTTCTCTCTTATTAATTACTATTGAAAAAATAAATCTTTACTGATAATTCGTCAAATGTTGGTATTTGCATATGTCTTCGAACAGCCAGCCATGCTGCATCAGGAGCATAACCAGGAACAATTTGACCTCCACTTGTAGAAGTTGTGATCGTGGGCGGCGGTGTGGCAGCGTTTTGCTGTTGTTGTTTTTGTTTCATAGCAACTGAATGTCGAAATGCTGCTTCAGAACAATGTCGTTCCTAAACGAGAAAATGGAAAAAGAAATAGACATATAATTCTTTACAAAACTATATTCTGCAATTGCAACGTTATTCATACTAGAACTACATACACAACTGCAGTCATGCGTCATTAACGTTTTCTTACTCTCATTTTTAGTAAACTACTTTGTGAAGGAGGCAAGAGAACTGTGCCTCTCGGGAGAATTAATGTCTATGGTCAGGCTCTTATAACGGCGATTAGTCACGCGATGTACGAAATGTTTTTTTTAACCTCTCCTTTCTCTTAATGATTTTCATTGAGTTTTTCGATTTTCTCAACAATTTTCACCAAAAAGCGAATAAATCAAATATCAGACAAATTCACTTACCTGTATATGACTGATAAGTGCCCATTTTTGCCTCTTTATTCGATCACATCCATACCATTGACAGACATTATCAACAGAAGTTTTAACATGCTGAGAACAACAATGATGAAATACGCCACGTGCAGATGAAAATAATCTAAATAAATCGATATATAAGTTTGACTAGTTTTAATTAATTTCAATGATTATCTTACTTTCTACACTGTTCCCATTCACACTGATATTCTACTACACCGTTCTGTGTTATTGCTCCTTGCACATACTGTTCTTGTGCATGAAGCGCAATTGATGGTTGAACCGATGTCGATGTAAGTATATTTGGCAAGGGTGTTGCATTTTTAACAAAAACAAGATTATTATTAGTGATAGTAGATGCGATTGCTTGCTGTGAAGGAACAGATGGGGTTTGTGTTTGTACTTGTTGTTCATCTGTTTTATAAACGGTAACGGATGTAATTTGATTTTCAGCTTTTATTGTTTGACGACGACTTCTTGTACGCTGTTTTGGTTTTGATTCAGTTTGTGGTAGAACATTTACATCATGAACAGGAGGAAGAGGTAACGGTGGAGGCATAGTTTCATCTACAATTTAAAACGGTTATAATTCATTTATTTCATGATTCTTCAACATCAGACAGTACCTTGTTCTAAGTTTTTCACAGCTCTCATTGCTCTAGTTCGTTTTAATTTCATTTGTTCACTACTATTATCCGTTTCCATTTTTCGTTTGAAAACAGGTGATGGTATTTGATTATAATTAATTTGTCGTTCGCCAATTCGTTGACACAAATCAAATAAAACTGTTTTAACAGTATCTGTTATTTCTTGATCCGTTGCCGGTATACAACGATCAATTATATCAAAGACAATTGACTGAATGATTTGAGTTGGAGAAGATATATCGTTAGTATCATAGGTAGGTAGTTCAGGAGGCAATATACTTGAAATTTGATCACATAAGATGTTCGTGGTAGGTGCTTGTAAATCGTTTGTTTCTAATGACGGATATTCGCTTGCTGTTGATAGTGGTTTCATATATGATTTTTGCTGAGGCCTAAAAATAAAAATAAGTAAAAAAACTAACAAAACACTGGTTAGTATGTTTCTTACATTTGTTGATATAAGTTGAGTAATGGTGACTGTCCAATAGGATTTTGTCCATAAAACGATGAATGATCACTTGAACTATTTTCACTATCATCTCCACCACTCGTTGCCTCTAGTTTTCGCTGTTGAAGCGGCAACAGTTGAGGTTGACTCGTATTGCTGTTACTGTTACTTGAACTAATATTTCCATTTGTTGCTGTACAACTACTTGTACTACTTTTACGTCGTTGACGATTCGAACGAGATCTTTTTTTAGCTGGAGGTGGTTGAGTTTGAATGTCAATTGAAGGTGCCGGAGATGGAGAGGATGGATAACCATTGACGACAGATGCAATTGTCTCAGATATAGCTAAACAAGAGCAACAACTTCTGGAAATGGCCGGTATCTATAGGGCTTTACTTACAGTCTAATTTTCTCTTTTTTTCTTCGCTTTCATCGTTGATATTTTGTTTTTGTTGTGGATTATTAACCACGATTGTTGTCGCTTGTTGTCCCTGTCCAACACTATTCGATAATGTTGAATTTTGAGTTGGAGGATAAAAAACGTTATTTCCCGATAATAAATTACCAGATGATGTTACGCCCATAATTGTCGGAGGTGGCGCTGGCAAACATTGAGGAGCTTTGGTTTGTATCTGTTGTTGTTGTTGTTGTTGCTGCTGTTGTTGTTGCTGCTGTTGTTGTTGCTGCTGTTGTTGTTGTTGCTGCTGCTGTTGTTGTTGCTGCTGCTGTTGCTGTTGAAGAAGGAGTTTATTATTCGTTCCATAATAAGATTTATTTGTTTCAGTATTTTCAACAGCATATGTAGCAGTTTGAGATTGCATTTGTTGTTGTTGAGTAGAAGATGGTTGAGTGATTTGGACAAGAACAGTTAGATTAGATGGCTGTTGCTGAGTTGTGCCATTCACTTAAAGTAATAAATGTTTCAAAAAAGTAAAGCGATTGTTGTTTAGTTACCTGTGGATAATACTGGTTGTTGATAGGACATTAGTATAGGTTTTGTTGACATTTCAACAATTTTTATGGTTTTTATTGTTTGTGAACTAAAACTTCTTGCTTCAATTGTTAAAAAATTAATCAATGTAACAACAATATCCACTTTTAGTATATGATTACACGTCTGTTCACCCATTTCACTTAATCTATACAAACATTCTAAAGTATGAACTAAGATAAGAATATCTGGAATATGTATCAGTTTTCTAACAATAATATCAATATAATCTAATAAAAATAATTCATTGTCCAAGCCTTGAGATGTCAAATTAGCAATAATTTCCAATGAACGAATAATTTTCAAGCGATCATCATTCTCGTACAACATTGAACGAATTAATTCTAAACAGATGACAAGTTAAATTATATTCGAAGACTTATTTCTTCCTTGAAGATTAAGATGATCGTTCGATTACTCCAATAAAAAATCTTACCTATAAATAACTTGAGTATATTTTCATTTAATTGTTCTATTTGTTTGAGATTAATTAATTGTGCCAAATTTGTTATAATATCACATGCATATTTTTGTATTTCTTTTCGTTCACAATATGCTGTTAGTATTAAAAATTGATAAATCATTTGTAATTTTTGATTATTTCTTGTTTGAGCTAACAAATACTGAGAGTTAGTACGATCAAATGATAAATTACGAATAATCATCAAAATTTGTTCAATACGTAATTCTTGATTTTGTTCAAATATATCATGATCAAAATCAGCATCGAATGCATTTGTATTAAAACCATTATACGAAACATTTTCACCATTTTCATTGGACGGAGTTGAGGTTGTAATTAATTTGTTATCACCTAAAAAAGAAAAGTTATGTTTTGAAAAATAAAATTTATGTAAAGTTTCTTTTCTTGCCTAAAATTTGTGAGACAATTTCTTGTGGACAATTTTGAAACCAAAACGATCGAAGATGATAATTTACGTGTTTAATCCAAATATTTTCGTACAATATTTGTAAATGAGAATGTGAGTCTTCGGACAGAAATAAGCCCATGTGATGAAATAAAATATCTAAGAAACGTGGACATTTGTATAATCGAAATTGTGGAGAACGTTGTTGTTGCGGATGATGATTATCATTTGACGAGAGAAGTAACAGAGTATTTAATGTAAATGTCAACTCATTCGGAAAGCCAGATAAAAGGGATAACTCTAGTTTTTCATATTCACTACGTTGAACAAATTCGCGGAATAAACCATGTTGTGTACGAACTGGATCTGTAAATATAACGAAAATGCAAATTTAACAAACAAAAAAAAAAAATTTAATTCACAAAAACACCATGAATGGGTAGCATCACTTAAACTATAGTGAAAGTTAATTACTATGATTACTAATTAGACTATACCCGTGATATTATGCTGTTGATAATTATAGGAATGTGGTACTCGTTGTAAATGGGACACCGTTCGCCGTTTTGAATCTTCGTCATCTTCATCATGTGCATCGACGTTTTCACCATTACTGATCTTTTCATACACATATAAATGTCTGTGAAAGAGAAGATATTATCAGACTCTTATGATGAAACACTCTTAAGTTTTACCGTATATAAATATTTTTTAATGCTTGTGTACCATTTAAACAAGATGAATCAATGTTAAACTGTTTAGCGATTATTGACCATAACTGTTTATCATTAACCTAGAAAAAAAATGCTAAGCATTGAAAAAGCTAACATTTTTAAGAGTGCTTATATCCGAAAAATGAAAACGTTGTCTACCAAACTGAATATAGTCAATTAAATTTAAAATCAGTTTTATTTGACTGTTAAAGCGTCATGAAGACATATATTGTACGAAGAGAATAAACTTGATTAAAAGGATTCATTCGACTAAAAAAGATTTATAGTCTTACTTTATCCCATCCTCCATTTGTGACAACTGCTTGATAAAGCGTCTGTAGATCAACGACGATACCAGCAATTGTTGGTAAAAATCGAAATGGTGTACTAAATAGAAAGAAGTAATAAATTTTTTTTTGAAAAACTCAATATTGACAAGAAAGTTTTACCCTCTACATCGATGAAATTCTCTTAGACGTTTTAAAAAATCTTCAGACGATACGAATGGATCAGATGAATTGGTATTAGCATTCTGAATATATGTTGTTGGTGTTTTGGACAGACTTGGTCTGTGAGTTGCCATGTTAATTCAACCACAACGGAATTCCAAAAGAGCAACTCTCAGACATAATCAAAAATAAACAAGAAAAGTGTATTTTTTAAAAATACATCTAAAAATGAATGTTGATACTGATATCAATGAAAAGCTACGGTGTAAAATCAGCCTAAATGATTCAAAGAATTTTCTCTTGTTGCTCTAATAAAAGTCTATTCTCTACTCAATACTATTTACGCAGAATGTAGCAGTACGGTATTTATTACTATTTTTGTTTCAATTTGAAGTGACAATGTTATTTTAGATTAACATTATTTCAAAGTTTCAAATAATGTTAATCTGAAATAATGTTACAATGCTTACTTAATCAAATCCAATTAGCGGTTGAATGATTACTAAGTTTTCTAGTCGCACTTAAACTAGTACATAGATGTCAAAAAACAAATATTTTTCTGATTTTGTAACGAACAGAAGTGCTTAAAATTGTACAAGAAGTCAATTTGTCCCACATATAGACACTAACAAGATTCGCCAAAAGATTAACACTCATCAGGATCAAAATTGCTTCTCAAACACATTGTATAGACATCAATATTAATCCCTTTTTCTTAGAACGCATCGGCCAAAAGGCCATATTAGGCTTTTTTGTGATGGTTGAAAATACAAAGTTAATTCCCACAAAAGATCAACGAAACACATTGTGATTCAACTGAATAGTAATCCATTCTTTTTATTTACTTATAAACGTATAAAAAGTCACAATGCTATGAGATAACTATACTGCTATACTTTTTACCGCAACGACAAGGCGTAACATTGATTGTTGTTCCTGATAGTCAAAGACATAAATCTGAAAGGCGTCAGCATTTCGTCATTAAATCTTTGTCTTTATCTATCGTTAACTACTTCGTAGCCTTAGAAAGCTCAATTCTTAAATCTTTTATTTTCTGTACTCTTTTTTGAGAAAATTGTTTTGTTCGACCAGTGCAGTCATTTATTTAGAACAGAATACGTTTCGTTTTTCGTTTGGACGTTAGAATTAGCCGTGTCTTAGTCTATTGAATACACATAATTTAAGTTTTACTTAAATTACGCATCAAACTTAAGATAGACTGTAGTCGAAAAAGTTAAGGTGGTTCAAAAGAAATCCTAAATTTGCTTCAAATTCGAAGACTTTACGTTAGACGTTTAGCTTAATTTATAAAACTTGATTGTAAGAAGCAAAGATTATTCAGGCCATATGTAATCTATGATTAAAACTTCTGTCTCTTTTTTGAATATATCCTCTCATCTAAACTCTTTTTTAGATGTAAAATAAACAAAAATCTCTTCACTTTATGCTATTTCTACGCGTATATCACTGCATTACTTTTCTATTCTTGATTCTACAAACTTGCTGTCCGTGCTATTTTTTGTCAGTTGGGCCATCATGTCTCTTTTGATTTTCTTTTCTTCTAGATCGTTCTCATAGACTCAAGCACAACAGACTTATATAGTATTTCCAAATTTATTATACAATTAATCCTCCTTGTCCCTACTATTCGGTCACTCATTACAAATCTAACGTCTTCAACATTATGAATCTGTGAGCTTTAGTGAATTTATTGGAACTAAAGTACCCAGATATTGAATGAATTCTAGACTTGTAAAACTTCTCAGATCTACTGATCGTATACTTTTACGGATAACTATAGTGAAAAAATTCTAGCCGAGTACTTAACTAGAACCTTGAATTATCCAAGATACTTGTGACACATTTTTAGTGTTTGTTCTTTCCTCTTTCTCTTATTTATCTTTTTTTTTAAAAGTTTACATTTACCTATTTCAAAACTTATTCTTCCTCAGTTATTTTTTTGCGTGGGCGTCATCGACTTACAAGTCGAAGACCTTTGATGATTTAATATGCTATGTGAATCTATTATTATCATTATTCAATTGGCAGTAATTACGTTAAAATTAGGAAAATTTAGTTTAAAAAAGATAGAGAAAACAATGATTTAACTTCTTTTGTTTGTTAAATCAACAAGTGGAACGTGTGGCATTGTAAACACCTTTGGTCATAAATGTCTGACCAATGAAAACACAATGCCATGCTTGTACGGTAATCAAACCATCTGTGTTAATCTTATTAAAAATGGAACGCGTTACACTGACGCTACACTTTTAACCGTACTTTTCAGAACAATACGTTCGCGTCAGGTCGTCTATAAATCACATCAAAAGTGTCGTCTTTGATTGGTAAACTAATCCACACAATACGGTGATGATAAAGAACCTCTATAATCGGACATATGTTTGCTTAATGCATAGCATTATATTTGAACCGTCCAGATCAATGGCCTTACTACTAGAGACGAAAGTGAATGTAAATTTGTCACCTGTGTTCTCAGAAAATTATGATTTTTTCATATTACGAAAGAAAATTCCAAGCAAATAAGAGCTCGAAAATTTATTTTGAATCCGCTATTGTCACAAGAAGTTAAAGTATTGTAATTTAAGAAAAATTAGAATACCATTTATGTTCAGCATTGCACTCAATGTGCTTTTTTTAGAAGTTCTTTGTGATTTTGTGCGACAAGTTGCGGTACCTGATGTTTTCTATTGGAGGATTTTGGAAACGGTTCACCCAGATCGATGGTTGTAACCTATCTGAAGAAAAATGGCGGATTAACCAATGAAGAAAAACCATAAAAATTAACCAATGCAAGGAAAACCATAAAAATATGCATTTTCTATATATATGCGCTTCTCCGCGATGCAATAATGCAAAAATGATCTGAAAGTGTTCTTCTCTCTAACGCTGGTATCTTCTCATAATTTTCACAAAATAAATAAGTAGTGTTCAGGTTTTGCATCTTTGAGTACAGTTGATCTTGATCGTTCGTGTATTCATGTTTTATATTTTACTGGTAGGGCTCGTTTTTCTCGATCAAGATAAGTATTCAATAGTTTTTTTATTTGTTGTGTTACCATGTACTCCTTCTCAGAGGAAGAGGATGCTCATTTATTTCTTGGTTTTACTAAGCTCTTGATTGGTAGATGAACATTGAATTTCTGCTCGAGTTAACGGACAACTAGTTTTAGTTTTCTGACAAACGGTCATGAGTTCACAGTAGCACCAGTAGAAACAAGCAATTAAACAAGTAAACACAGCTAATGCAGAAATGACTAAGAACTAAACTAAATATTGTTTTGTTATGGAACTTCGGTGAATTACGGATCCATAATTTATCTTTGTAATTTTGTTACCTTATGCGATGCTACACCCTTGGAAACTTTCTCATCTTACCAGGTTACTTACTTCTGTGTCAGTATAATAGTTAGTATCAATAGTCTGCACTAATTTTTTCTCTCCAATTTACATTGTATTTAATTGATTAGTGATCAGTTGTAAAAAAAAAGGCTGTACACAGCTTCTCTTCATTTTCCTTTTTTTCTTCATGTGCATGAATTGTGGTGATAAATTTTGCAAAACAATAGATATACCAATATAAAACATGTTACATAATGATAATTCTCTAATTTAACCCATTATATCTTACTTTTAAGATCTTATTCTGTCGTTACCAAAATTTTTGTCACAAATTATTGATAATATTCTTTTAATATTTTGATGTTTACAGATCTAATAATTTCGTTATAGAATTTGAATTCACAACTGGATGCCTTACTCAATTATAAACGTGTAAATTTATAAAGTGATTTAACAGCAGATGAGAAATTCAACTTTTTGTGTTTTAAATATTGAAAGTAATAATACAAAGAACAAGATACTTTATCGAAATTATTTGATTATAATGGTCATACAGAAATGCATTTTTTCTTGTGCTGTTAAACAATAGAATAATAAATTTTTGTTCATCAACATTTATTGATGTAACATTTGGACAACTTGAAATTATTATTGTTTAACTGAAATATTTGAAATTATTTAACATCGATCTAAGTTAAAATTATTAGATTTTGACTAAGACAAAAATAATCGAAGTTGATTAACCAGATTTAATGAAATGACATCGTTGAAAACAGCCATTTTGAGTTTAAATGAAATTGTTTCGATAACAGTAGGAGGTACAAACAGTTTACTTTTGTTCTGAAATGTTTTATTTCCAATTTGCTGACACAGGCTTCGTGCTACTTTAAGTTGATTTCTTGTTTTTGATCGATAGGGATGAAAATTAGATTAATATCTGAATATAATTGACTTCATGAGGCAATTATAATCAGATTTTAAAGCGATTTTTTAATAACAATTCATTTATGCAGAAATTAGTCAAAAAGCCTTTATTCCATAATCACAGTGAAATCTATCGTTCAAAAATATGAAAAATAAAATGTATCAAAAGTTGGATGGGTAGAGATCGAAAAAAGTTTGTTCATGCAGATGAATAAGAGTGATAGATGTGAATTTATGAAAGTGCTGTGTTTGAATGTTCCTATGACACACAGACGCTAAGAATATAGTTGTGTAGCTCGTGAACAAAATCAATCATAGTAAACGTATAAAATATGTTAAAAAATCACTGAATTATTGGATTGCGTTTTACGGTCAAACGAATATGAATTCAATTTAATTTGATGTGATAAGAAGATTATAGTTTGACAGTCGACGAAAGAAGTATTCGCCTCCGAATGCCCAGTACACTATGTGAATTATGGAGAAAGAAGTTTAATGTTTGGAGTGTGCTTATCAAGAGTTGATGTGAGACAAATATTTTTGTGATTGTATTACGGATAGGTTCTATCATGAGAAATTATTAGATAATTATAGATCATATTTACAATAATGACAATAGATAAAATCTTGTTTTGCTGTATATCAATTTTTACACGGCTGACTAATATTCTTCATAGAATTGCTAGATGGATCTTATCTATCGTCATTATTGTTGCTATTATAATTTTGGATTTTTATGGGTGTGAAATCTATGAAAAAAAGCGATAAATAGAAAACCTTAAAAAAAACGGGTGTGGTTTTTGAAAGGCAATCTACAAAATGACTATTAAACCCAAATGAGGGATTCGGATTATCCTAACTCCTTAATAGTTCCGATTTTCTAAATCCTTTTGAATAATTTAGGAGATATGAATTTTGAATTCAGGAGTTCTTTAGGAACGAAGGATCCTTAGGATCCTTTCCTTTTTAGGATCCTTTTTTCAGTGTTTTTTTTAAAACGAAAGATAATCCGGATTCAATCTAAAATCCATCAGCACACTGAATTATCCGATAGAAGGCCGAGGTTGTTGTTGGTAGTACAAAATCTCAATCGCCAAAAAATGTTAACTTTTTGAATGTATAGTTGAAGCATTCTTCGTGAATTCTTCACTTCGTTTATATTCATCTTTTACACTATTTTTTTAGATTGCTTTTTTCTAAAATTTTTTCACTACATGTTTGAAAGAATAGTCCCATGGATACACAAGTCTATTCTCCAAGTGATGTCGCAATTGGTTCATTAACATTTACAAATTATACATCAGAAGAAATTCGTCGTCTAAGTGTCAAAGAGATAACATCGGCACAAGCTATCGATCGTCTAGGAAATCCCGTTGCTGGTGGTCCATATGATTTAGCGCTAGGACCATTTGATAAAAATGATCGTTGTTTTACATGCTATCAAGGTTTTGTTCAATGTCCTGGACATTTGGGTCATATTCAACTTATATTACCAGTCTATAATCCAGTATTTTTCAGAAATCTTGTCAATGTAAGTTAATATCTAAGCATAAAATTGAATGGGTACTATATACATTTTATTGTTTATGCTTGTTTAGTTATTACGTGGTTGTTGTTTACATTGTCATACTGTTTTATGTTCATCAGCTGAAAAATATTTATTTTCAATGCAAATGCTCTATTTAGAAGTTGGACAACAAGAACATAGTCAAAATCTAGTCACAATCTACAATAAATGGGTGTTAGATAAAAAAGCTTTAGATACATTTTATGAACATATTAATGAATATATTACACAAAATCCATTTAGAAATTCTATGAAGAATGTTAGTCAGTCGTGTAAAAATTTATGTGCAGCAAAACAAGATCTTATTAACGATTTTGAGTATAAATCATTTAAAACAAAAAGTATGTTCATTTCTCTAATAATTGCCAATATTCAGACTGAAAATAATGATTTATTTTAGAAAAATTTTGTCCAAATTGTACTACACCTGTTCGTCAATTACGTGCCGATGGTCACTGTAAATTATTTTATTCACAAGCTGTTTCAATCAAACAAATAAAAGCTTATCAAGAACGATTAAATGCGCAAAGGTAGATAGAATGAGTATTTTCAAGTTTAACATGATAAATATTTTCTGTTTTTAGACGTTCAAAGCAGTTTAATGGTGATTCGTCAACGATTAAAGATGAAGAAGAAGTTATCGATGATAAAGAATCAGTATTAACTTCAATTAATGAAGAAGTTTCTAAAATGTCTGGTCAGTTGTATATGACACCGTTAGAAGTGCTGAAACAATTAGATAAAATATGGTTAAATGAAAAAGAATTGCTGGGAATGTATCTATCAAATTTAAGACCACAATTGACAACAACGTCAACAAATAATCCCATGAGTCTGTTTTTCTTTGAATCATTGCCTGTTATTCCATCCAAATTTAGACCGGTATGTCACTAGTTTGAAGCAATTTTCGTATGTTATACTCTTTTCTATTTAGGTTTTGATGTTTAATGATCAAAAATTTGAAAATCCCAAAACGTTACGCTATTCATCGATTGTTGAAGACAATCAGTTGATGAAAGAGTTATTAACACTTAAAAATCAAGCACCAGATATAACAGCGGTAATAATTCAGTTGTCTATTCACACTTCAGATGTTGTGATTTCTTTTTCTTCTTTAGACACCGCCACCAACTACATCATCACATCGTTCTTCGCTATTGACTACATTACGTGGTGCAACAACAGAAGAAAAATTAAATAATCTATGGATTAAAATGCAAATAACAGTGAATTCAATATTTGATAGTGCTCTAGATAAACGAAATGCAAGAGTAGCAAAGGGATTTAGACAGGTGTGAGAATAAGTGTAACGAAAAGTTTCATAATATTTTATTTGATGATATTGTTTCAGGTTGTTGAAAAGAAAGAAGGTTTATTTCGTATGCATATGATGGGTAAACGTGTCAATTATGCTGGTCGTTCAGTTATCTCTCCCGATCCATTTATAGCCACGTATGAAGTTGGTATCCCAGAAGTATTTGCAAAAAAATTAACATATCCTGAAACAGTAACACCAAATAATGTACATCAACTGAGAAAATTGATTCTTAATGGACCCGATTTTCATCCGGGGTATGGCTATTCTTTTAAGTCTTTTTTTTCTAAGATTATTATTTTTAATCCCTATTTAGTGCAAATTTTGTCGAATTAGAAGATGGCACAATTCGACGACTATTACCAAATAATTTATCACAACGTCAGGCTGTTGCTAAGTTATTATTGACAAAAGAAAAACAAAGTGCACAAAATACGATTATGACAAGAAAACGAGTAAGTTTTGTCATTACTTTTGAAATTTATAATCTCGAAGTTCATATTTTAAGGTTTATCGTCATTTACGTAATGGTGATTTTGTACTTGTTAATCGTCAACCCACATTACATCGTCCAAGTATCCAAGCACATATGGTAGGTAAGTGACAATCTTGATGTATCTCTCTATCTTTTGCTCTGTTTTTACTCTAAATTCTTATATTGAAAGGCTCGTGTATTACCTGGTGAAAAAACACTTCGTTTACATTATGCACAATGTAAATCGTACAATGCCGATTTTGATGGTGATGAAATGAATGTCCATTTATTACAAAATGAAGTGGCTAGAGCAGAAGCAGCACATTTAAGTAAGTATTATCTATACCCTCTTGTCATATTGTACATGTATTTCTTCGTTTATTTTCTAGTGATTGCATACAATCATTATTTGGTACCAAAAGATGGTACACCATTGACCGGTCTTATTCAAGATCATGTAGTGTCGGGTACAAGTTTAACATTTAGAGATCGATTTTTTGAGAAGTATGTTGGTTGACCAGAAATGATAACAGAAGATATATTCAAGAATATTTACGATTATTTTAGATCCGATTATCAACAATTAGTTTTTAGTTCCATCGGTGCTTATTCAAAACGAAAAATTCGAACATTGCCACCAACTATATTGAAACCAAAAGAATTGTGGACTGGAAAACAGGTTAGCCTATATACAAAATAAATGTAAATAAAGTCCAGAATAGCATGTTGTTTAGTTCATGCTTTTGGTGTTGTCAGTTAAGAGTGAACTTTCCTACATTCAATTACTATCTACATCAATAGAAACTTGTATTAAGTCCTAGTGTAGTTGTCAGAAAAGATTTTAAACATTTCTTTTATGATTGCTCACTTCTGATAGGTTGATTAATGCTATTTACATTTTTAAACAATATTAACATGAAAATGAATTTCGATACTTTACTTCTACGAAATTCTATCTGCTGTATACTATTTCATCTCAAAAAATCAAAAAATTCAAATGAATCAATTAGTAAATTATTTTACGTGGACTTTAATTTCTTTTCATAGCAGTGACAACCTAAGTATTACATTCGTCTTCTCCATGACTAATGTATGAATCCTTTAACTAAACCAGCTAAAACAAATGCTCACAAGATAATAAATATTTCTTTTTTCCACAGTATTTCTTGTTTTTTAAACTTCTTTCTTAATTTGTTTTGTTAGAATCTTTCAATTTTTTTTCTTTATTGCATTATTATACGGAAAGTTATCTTTGTTTTCTATTTTTATGCTGTGTTCGGACAGTTATGTTCATTTCTTCTCTTAGATAAAGTTTATATCGACGATTAAATAATGTTCATTTTATTTTTCTATTCAGATCATATCGACAATTTTATTGTATATTCAACCACCGAATGAACAGTCATTAAATCTTGATAGTAAATCAAAATTAGCAATGAAGGTATGTGCCTTATTTACTCAATATTTATATTTAAATTTTAAGAAATACATTAATTGAACGAAGATATATGTCAAATGCTCTTTTCACCCAATGTATAGTCTGTTGTCATTCTTTTTCTTACAGCAAATGATAAATTTATTTAAATACTATTTTTTTTTATAGTCTTGGCCATCTAAAAGTTCATCACAATCATCTTATTATAATGATTTGATGTCTGATACGGATGTTCTAATTCGTCGTGGTCACCTATTGTCTGGTTTGATTGATAAAGCTCATTGTGGTTCTACTCTAGCATCTGTGGTACATTGTTATTATGAATTATATGGCAAGAAATATGCAGCCGATTTGTTATCAGCATTTTCAAAATTATTCACTATATTTCTACAATATTATAAAGGATTTACACTTGGCATTGAGGGTAACATAGTCCATCGATATAAAAAAAATGATACATTGACATATTTTTTATTTTTTGTTTAGATGTACTATTATTATCACCCGGTTTAATAAAACGTCGTGAATTAATTGATGAATGTCGTGCAAATGCTGGCCGTAAAGCTTTACAAAAAACATTTCAAACTGATGAAGATCAAGATGATCAATCATTAATGAATAAATTTTCAGATGCATTTTGTTCATTAAATTTTGCTAAAGAAATATCGAAAGAAATGGATTTAAATTATAAAACATCTATTGATGAATATCAAAATCAAATAATTAAACATTGTATGGCTAATTTATTTAAAACATTTCCCGACAATAATTTACAATTTTTAATTCAAAGTGGTGCCAAAGGTTCAGCAGTAAATGCCATTCAAATATCATGTTTATTAGGACAACAAGAATTGGAAGGAAAACGACCACCATTAATGCCAAGTGGAAGAACTTTACCTTCATTTCAACCATACGATTTTTCACCAAGATCTGGAGGATTTGTTGATGGAAGTTTTTTATCTGGAATAAGACCACAAGAATATTTTTTTCATTGTATGGCTGGAAGAGAAGTAAATTTAAAAATATGATATTAAATTTTACACATGAATTAATTAAAATTGTTTTTCTTTATTGTATTTTAGGGTTTAATTGATACTGCTGTGAAAACAGCTCGTATTGGATATTTACAACGTTGTCTAATGAAACATTTAGAAGGTCTTGTTGTTAATTATGATTTGACCGTTCGAGATAGTGATGGAAGTGTTATACAAGTTAGTAGAAATTTTTTCTTGATATTTTTGTTTATTTTTTCGGTTACAAAATCTGTTTGATAAACTGTGTTTATTTTTATTAGTTTCAATATGGTGAAGATGGTTTAGCTGTGGACAAATGTACATATTTAAAAGAACAATATTATCCTTTTTTAATTAATAATTATTCATCAGTTGTTAAACAAGATGAACTATCACATATTCGTAAATATTGTTATAATAAAAAAGTCATTAAACAATTAAAAAAAATTCGAAAATGGAGACTAAAAACGAAACTACTTGCCGAAGAACAAGATCCAACCAAAGTTCGAATTACACCATTTACCCATTTTACACGTTATTTTGATTTGTCTGAAATTATGAAACAGAAAGAAAATGATTTAATTGATACTAATAAAGCACGACAGACACTTGTTGATACATGGCGAGCAATGTCCGATGAAGATCAACAAAAATATGATCATGGTGTTGTAAAATTCTATTCACCAATTACACTCAACTATTTACCAACATCAAATCTAGGTAATGTGTCAAAAACTAGTAACGAAATGTTCTTCTAAGGAATTATTTTTCTATCTCTAGGTGCAATAACGGAACATTTAGATGATTTAATTCAACATTATATTCAAAAATATGGCAATGAACAATATCAATTATCATCAAAACAATTTCTAAGAGAAATAACATCCGATCAATTTGAAACAATGTTACATCTAAAATCGTTGAAATCATGTGTTGATCCTGGTGAATCGGTTGGTATTTTAGCAGCACAATCTATTGGTGAACCATCAACTCAAATGACACTGAATAGTACGTAGTATAAGGCAAATGATGTTTTTGCACTCTATAAAATCTGTATAAATTCATTATTTTTCTTTTAGCATTTCATTTTGCTGGTCGTGGTGAAATGAATGTCACATTAGGTGTACCCCGTTTACGTGAAATTCTAATGGTTGCGTCGACACGAATTAATACACCGATGATGGAAGTACCCATATTAACCAATTCGTTGAAAAAGGCAAAAAAATTACAAAAACGTTGGTCACGTATCCTATTTCGTGAAGTGATATCCAATGTTTCCATTAATGAACGTTTAATTCTCACAAAAACAGAACCACAGGTGCGTGAATGTCAAGTAAAATTTGAATTTTTTAAACAACGTTCGCATAGCGGACTGAAATATTCAGAAATTCTCAAAGCATTTGAACATAATTTTTTGGCAAAATTAGTTCGAGTAATAAATAAAAAAATTAAAGAATTAACAACATCAAGTTTATTGAGATCAGCACATGTACGAGATATTATAAAAACAACTAGTGGACGAAAAGATGATGATGAAGGAACAGATGGCACTGAAAAACAAACAAAACTTGATGACGATTTAGATGGTAAGAATAAATAATATTTTTGTGTTAAAAAATGCATATTTATCAAAGAATATTTTTAGATGAAGATGTTGGTGATGCGGGTGAAGCGAATGCTGCTAAAGAAAAGTCGAATCGAAATGATGAAAAAGAATATGAGGATGGTAATGAAGAAGAAAAAGAAGAGGAACAAGATGATGATGAAAAAGAAGAACTTCCCATAAAAAAAGAAGAAAAAACAGAAAATGATGAAATGATTGATGATGGATACGATTTGGGTAAGTTGAGAAGTATTTCATTTGAAAATCAGTATGCTTTTCTCTCTTAAGAGATTTTTATCTGCAACAAAATAGAACGTTTTTCGTTGTTGTAGAACCGGATACAGAACAACCACTTAACAGTGAACAGATTGATATGGATGAGAATGAAACAGCATCAAACGGCCCAACGACAATTGATCGAAACGAACTTGGACAAGCGTCATCAAAACGAACGAAAAATGATAAAATTATTAATGATAGAACAAATGTATGTAATGATTATGTGTTGCTAGTTCTACTAAAACAAAAAGAACGGGGTGCCTTTGGATAGATTCATTTAAGTACGATCTCAAACTTGTAGGAAAAGTAGACGCACAAAAGGCAAAATATACTTTCTTCTTTCCATTCTCTCAATCTTTGTCGGTCTCGATTGTATTCAGCACGTAGATATCGCTTTTTTTTAACTGAAAATCTGTAGATGTACCTTTTCATAATTAGTACCGAACCAATTTACTATTTTGTTTTGTTTTTCATGCTCATCTTTCTGTATAAACATTTTGTACGGTCTGACCAGTGTCGATGGTCTGAAGCAATCTGCACACGACAATCTATAGAGACTCAGTGAAGAAAAAGTTCTCTCTGACATTTGTCTTGTTCTTTAGTTTGTTTTCAATTATGCTGATTACATTAGCGATTATTTATATTGTTCCGAAACTGAATCATGGTGTTCAGTCACGTTTAAATTTCCTTGTAATCAACCACGAATCGATTTGGAAACACTCATTCGTCAAGAACTTTCACGTATTCCGATTACATCCATTCAAGGTATTAATCATTGTTTTATCAGCGACTCGAAAGAAAATAAAGGTGAATATTTATTAACAACAGAAGGTGAAAACATTCGTGCACTCTTTGTCTACTACGAAGTATTTGATTTAAAACGTCTTTATACAAATAATATTCATGTAATGGCATCCACGTTTGGTATTGAGGCGGCTAATAGAACTTTAATACGAGAAATAAATCGTGTTTTTGGAGCATATGGAATTGAAGTGGATTATCGACATTTATCATTGTTAGCCGATTATATGACGTACGAAGGTGTTTATAAAGCGTGTAATCGAATTGGTTTGAAAACAAATTCATCACCGTTACAAAAGATAACTTTTGAAACATCAACCACTTATTTGAAAGAAGCGATTTTACATGGTATTTACGCATTCATGTAGCTATCATTTCTCTTTTTAACATACTTTTTTTGTACTTTTAGGCGAACGAGAAGAATTGAAATCACCGTCGGCTCGATTAGTGACTGGTCGTATGGTACAATGTGGTACAGGTACATTTGATGTGTTAACAAGGATATCGAAATGAAAATATTTTGTTTTGTTATTAATTTTCACTGTTGTTGTTATTCTTCCATAGACAGAAGAAAAGAAAAAAACTTTTATTTTTTGTTGTTTTTATAATAAAACTATACAGTATGAAGACAACACATAGTAGGAAGGTAAGAATTTGAGCTTCTTATCATTTTTTCTTATGTATATAACGTTGCTTTGCTTATCGAACTTTGTTTCTTCAACGAAGTATTGCAAGAGAACACAAGCAATTGCACAATAGCAACACATTAAACAAAATTATCTCACTTGGTCGTGACGTGTTTACACTATTCATCTAAGTGAGGTGAAAATTGCAAATGCTAAAAATATCCATAAGAATGTTGGCTAGATCAAGTACAGTAATACGTTTTCTTTTCGTGTCCCATAGCAGCACAAATAAATGAATTAGCCTATAAAATTTTGCATAGCCGCCAGCAAAGACCAGAAGAACGTTTTGTATGTCTTTTTCCTCGTATGCCATTCGTAACAAACCTGTATTATACGATTTCCATTATTTATCGCAGAAAACGTTGACTAAAAGAGGAACACAAGTGTATAAAAATCGAAAATATTTTTTTCGATTATGGGTCAAAAGTTCAAGAAGAGTTTTAACTTTTGCTCGATTAATGTTCTTGATCCAATTCGCTTTACGACACTCACAGGCGTTGTACCTACTGAAAAAATTCATTCAGATATTTTGAAAGCAGAAAAAATCCATTAAATCGTTTGGAGAAAGCGCTTTTTATGTTTTTTGTTAAATTTTTAGAACTGGCGATCAATACAGAAAAATATAGATTTAGCTGTGACTAAAGACAAATATCGTTTTTTTATTTGGCAGTGAAGTTCCATTTTCATTTTGATTTGAAAATTGTTAGTGGAGAATTGATAAAGAGAACGTACAGTCGAGTGTACGCAACGACAACAAAAATTTGTATTTTTATAAAATGACTCCAAGCACGAAAAAAAGTCGTAAAGCGGGCGCTTGCATCTAGATTAAAGATAAATTTATCTAGCTTCAATTGAGTATAACCGCTGATCAATCAAGTCGAATTGTCCGATGAGTTGATCGTTTCAGCTAGAACACAATTTTAATCATGCATGCAGCTAGATAAATGTATCGTTAATCTAGACAATCTAACATATCACCAACAGAAAATAAAGTTCATGCAGAGTCGCGGGGAAAAACGCTTTTGGGTATTCAGCACACTCGATAACCCCGAAAATTTTCTATTTCTGGCGGTATTGATAAAAGTTTAAGAAAAATTTTGAACGCTTCCGCAGTTGTATTTCCATCTGTACTAGCATAATCTTTACAAGCTTGGATGAACGTAACAACGGGTAAACATTCATAATCAATGGCAGTTGAAGTTGATAAAGTTGATCGTACGAATAGTACGCCAAGAATCTTACTATGTAAAGTGGTATCTAGTCAATTAGCATCGGATGATACAGTGTTGTATAAAGTGTGTACATTGATAGGTGTTGTCAGTTGCTTTTAGTATTCATGATTTACGCTAAAATGGTGTACAAAATGTCACCCTAAAAAAAAGTGTGTGTGTTCAAATGCCTAATGTTGTTAAAAAAATATTTGTGATTGTTAATAATATTTTCAATAAAAAAAGGGTATTCCTTTTACTATCAGCATCATGTCAGGCAAATTATAATTTCCACTATAGTGGAGATTGAAATAGGAGTGTTAGCCATTTTTGCCTAGTGGAATTTAAAATCCCACTACATTGGAGATAAAAATTTTATTCTCCACTAGTTGAACTTAAAATTTCAGTTTCCACTGACAAGAATCCAGTGGAAATTGAAATTTTAATTTCCACTGTAACATTAACAAATGCACTGATGAATATTTTACGATGTACGTTGTAATCACTAAAAATGACCTGAATGCACGTTGGTAAAATCGTTAGAACGAAACTTAGTATTTTTATGAGAAAAAAATGTCTGAATCCCATTTTCATCAAAAATCGATATCATCATCGATCGTTGTACTCTTGAACTGGTTTCAAAGGCTTCCTTATGAGATTGGCGTTGGAGTCTACGGACGACACTGACTGTTACGTAGATAACTTCAGGTCATACAAATATTTTAAGGTCGAGTCACGACTACATGTTAAATTATTTTCAAAACAATGAGATTATGATAATTATTAATGAGAGTAAAACACGATGTTTGATTGAACTTTGTAAAGTTCACAAATCATGCCTTGAACTGAAATTATTAAACCATTGAAAAAGTACCATATTTTACGACCGATCAAATCAAGAATGAGCGCTGTCTATGCTATGATACCAACAGAAATTACTGACATTCCGATAGACGTGTAGGATTCAGCTCTATGTCGAGCAAGCTGAAGAGTCCTCTCCACTGTAAAAACTATGTCTAAACGTACTGAAAGTGTATCAAAACCTCCAGTTGAATAACAGCTGAAAAGAAGGCGTTGATTAATCTAAAAAATGATTTTAATCGATAAGTTCAGTTTGCTCTTTATGTTGTCTTGAAGAGAATATTAGTGTTATTGATATATAAATCCTCTTTTCAATTTTCTGTGCTGGGTCAGATAGAGCTCTGTGGATTAGGTTGTTCAGTCTCAATTTCAATCAGTTCAATCCTATTCTGTTAAGTTCGAATACAAGAACTTTTCAATTGATTTATCTAATCTGTTACATCCTGGCGCGGAAACGGTTCTTATAGATTCTTTTTTTTCTCCTCTTCCCATCTTCAAGCAAAAAAGAAAACAACATTCATATTCTAAATTATATATACAAAATAAACGTAGCATAGTTGAGCAATCATTATGTTTTTTTCAATTCTAAACTAAACTACTATTTTGAGTTGGTCTGCGTATGAAAACATGTTACTGAAGAAACGCATTTTTAGAAAAGCCCGAAAATATTAAAAGCTTCTTTTTTTCAATGGTAGAAACTGTGAATAATAATAACCTTCTCATACGACCAACGCTAAGCCGTGATATATCACTAATGCCAAATCTTACTAATGGTGAACGGCCCGGTTTAACACCTATTTATCTCAATCTTTACGATCTTGGTGGATGTTCAAATACGATCGCACACACGGTTGGACTATCGTTTTACCATTGTGCAATACAAACGCATTCAGCTGAATACGGTTATTTTGGACATCCATACAATTTCACAGGTTGGAAATCTTGTTTGATGTTGAACAAAAAACTTAAACAAAAATTATTTTCAGTTAACTTTTATCGCATTTAAGACAGCTCACCACCCAAAAATCACAGTTTTCTTCATATCGTTGTAAACTCTACAATGTCTGCTTTCAGAATCTCAATCATTTTTTACATTCTGTTTTCTAGAAACCGCATTAACCATGTTTTCTTGATACTCAATAGATTTTTTAATATAATCAGTATATAAATTCTTTTTCATATATTCACACTTGTTGAACAAACATTTCTCAATACCATGAGTTGTAGCGCATCTCTGTTTGACGTGTTGGTAGAAAGTTTTGAGCATCTTCCTAGGAATCTTAAGAAGTAACAATAGGAGCACGGCGAATCTTCTCGTTAGCAATATGAGTGTTTTAATTGTTCAGTATGGTGCATGATTTAGGGAACAGTGCAACATAACATATAAACATGTTTTTAAATTGGAAGGAAAATAGATAGATTAAAATAGATTAAAAAGCATATATATAGGTGCTACGGTCTGCAAACTTTTTATAATTTTTAACTTGTAACACCTGCTACTAAAGAGCAAACTGAACTTATCGATTAAAATCATTTTTTAGATTAATTTACAATCAACGCCTTCTTTTCAGCTGTTATTCAACTGGAGGTTTTGATACACTCTCAGTACGTTTAGACATAGTTTTTACAGTGGAGAGGACTCTTCAGCTTGCTCGACATAGAGCTGAATCCTACACGTCTATCGGAATGTCAGTAATTTCTGTTGGTATCATAGCATAGACAGCGCTCATTCTTGATTTGATCGGTCGTAAAATATGGTACGTTTTCAATGGTTTAATAATTTCAATTCAAGACATGATTTGTGAACTTTGATTGTGAACAAAATTCAATCAAACATCATGTTTTACTCTCATCAATAATTATCACAATCTCATTGTTTTGAAACAATGTAACATGTAGTAAACCTTTTCTTTTTCTTGAGGTTTATACAAAACTTCGAAACATGATCCACGTTTTCATTTGTACAAATTACGTGATTCACTTGAAATTGGTTGGACGTATTATTCAGAAAAACAAATTGATCAGATTTTTTCAAATTTGACCATTTATTATCCGGGTTCCGATTATCATACAATAAATAAGAATTCAATTCATTTTGCTAAATTTCTTTTGGAACAATTATTCAATATTGATCGTAATGAAAAAGTAAAAATTGTAAAATTTCCAAATTATTTAGATCGTGTACGACGTCTCACAAGACTATTTCCATTTCTACAATCGTTTGATAATGAAAAGGAAATAGCTGAAATCAATATTTTATATTTTTTATATATGAGATATGATGGTGATGTCGCAAGAATATGTCAAGATTTATTATGTAATACAATTGAAAAGGTATATAGCTGGATAATTTCTAGAATGAAGAAACATTAACCAGCGGTAAAAAACGTGCTGCTTTTGTCTAGAAACTTCTTGATTTATCATGCGATTTGAAATAAAAAGTTTTGAGTTTCACGAATGTTTGAATGTGTTTTTTTTCATTTCTAGTTAAAACGTTGTATCCATTTAATTGAGAAGGGTATCAAACGGAATGAATTGCCTATCACTGAAAAGTTTACGTTATTTGAGAAGAAAAGTGCATGCGATTGTTTAAACGTTATTGATCGTAATTCACAAGTCGCTCAAATTAAGGAGAGAAAAGGCAAAGATCAACAGAGTGGTTACGATCAAATAACTCTTACCGAAATATTTCATCAATTTGATACAATTACCCTTCGTGGTCGTACATCGGTTGATCGCTATTTAAACATTCAACTAGCCAATAATGTTGTAACAAATTTTGAACATTCTCAACCTACTCGTGCTCAAACTCTTGCAAGAAGTGATGGCATAGGAGGAAGTGGAGGGAGTCTGCATCGAAAAACTATTGAAATTCCACAAACTAGTCGTAAAGAAGTTCGTCTTTTACCAGATCGAAATGATCGAGCTGTGCAAATTATATCACTAAGACGATATCAATATCCTCATCACAGTGGCAGGTACGATCATATGTGACACAGTAGACTGAAACTTGATCAGATACCTTAGTGTTCGATTTCGGTTTGATCATAACAGTTAAAAACAAATATGAAACAAGATTTAACTAGCTGGAAGAGTTTGCAACGTAGTGCATGTACATATTCTGTCAAACTCTCGTATAATTCAAGTCGCTCGAAAATCATATCTTCGAATTCGATTGAGAACTTTTTGCACACAACTTTATCGTATAGAGCAAACGTTTTTGAACGAAATGAGACATCTTTAAGCTCGCCACATGAAACTGCATTCAATTCACCAAACGCTCCAAACTCACTTTTGTTGGTTTTCTGTGGATTCTCTCAGGTTGACACCTTCTGTAAATTGAGTTTAGTTTCATGTGGCGAGCTTAAAGATGT